GTGTGTGTGTGTGTGTGTGTGTGTGTTACCTGTAGAAGGTGTGATGTTCGACACAGCACCTCCACAGACGTTTACAGTCACATCGATCTGATGTCTGAAAGAAGAACGACGTCTCTGAACCCTGAAACATAAAAACAGTTTGAGATGACGTTCGTTATTTATTAGCATTCGCATTAGCGTTAGCATTAGCGTTAGCTTCAGTTAGCCAATAGAAACTCACATTTTTGCCTAACACGCTGAGCTCAAACATCTCGTCTTTGAAGTGAAGTTTGGTGATCCGTGGCCTGAAGAAAACATGTCTGAAGTCACATGACAGGTCACATGACAGGTCACATGACAGGAAGCATGAGGTGAGTCAGTCAGAAGTCTCACTCCTACCAGAAATATTTTCCCACCAGCTCTTTGTTCTTGTAGATGACCACGCCCACTGGAGTTGGACCCAGGAAGTACTCAGTCTGGTTCTCGCCCTGCAAGGCATCATGGGAGTAAAGAGGCATTAATAATTAAATAGGTGTGTGATTGATAAGCAGGTGCTGACGGTGTTGATCGGTGATCTTACGTAGGCGGCGAACAGAGAGACTCCGTACATCTGCAGAGAGCTGCAGAGAGACAGAACCAGACTCTGGGCCTGAGAGCGAGAGACCCCACTGGACAACGGAACACAGAGAGAGTCAGTGATCGATCAATCAATCAATCAATCAATCAATCAATCAATCAATCAATCAATCAATCAGCACTGTGCTCCTTGTAACATCAGGCCTCGTGTTCGTTATTCTCCTTAAAATCAACTGTTTCTCTTATTTCAGTTTTGTTTTGGCCTGATTTATTTACTGATTGATTATTGATCACGTTTCATTTCCTGATCACCTCAGTGTTTTATAGATGAGTTGAACTTCCTGCTTCTCCTCTGAGTCTGACATCTCGTCCTCGCTGAGGTCTCCTCGCTCCGCTGGAACAACAAATGAAAACCAGTAAACTCTCCGTCGCTCTGATTCATGAATAATACATAATATATATAAATATACAGTATATAATATATAATATATAATATATAATATAAATATAATATCTGATCAATGAATCTGAACATCGTTTATTCTGAATTCTTCTGGGACACGAATCCTTTTTCTGCTCAGGAGGAAATGAAACATTCGTCCGATGGTATTAAAGTTTGTCACCCTGCAGCATCAGAGCGTCCAGTCGTGGGCGGAGGTGGGCGGGGCATAGCAGGCGACCTCGCCGGACGTCCTGACGAACCTGCAGGTAGAACTGACACCTGACGCAGCACACACCTGGCTTTACTACACATGTATCATTAATAGACTTCTGGACGAGTCCAGACTCTTTCTACATCAACACTCAGTAACACAGAAGTTAAAACGTGTTTTTAGCAAATGTGTTAAAAACCAGGAACTGAAATCTCAGAGCCTGAACGAGGACTCCAGAAGGTTCTTTGTCAGCAGCTTCCAATCTTCTGGTTTGGTCTCAGATGTTCTGTCGGGTCACAGACTTGTCCTGAAGCTCCTCCAGTGTTGGATCGGCTGTTTGCTGAGCGATCGACGGCAGCCACAGCATGATGATGCCACCTCCATGCTGCATCAGGGCTGGTCGTGTCTCTGTACATAAACACCTGGTTGGTGGTTGATCTTCCAGCACCTTCATCTCTGCACAGAACCTGTGAAGCTAAAGACGGCCAGGTTCTTGGTCTCCGATGAAGAGTTCTGCTGGTTCTGGTCTTCTTCTGTTTCAGAGGAACATCTAAACCTGTAGAGATGTTTACAGGATCGCCACACTTTGATCACTGAGGTCTTGGGCTTCAGAGCGTGTTCCGACCCGCAGACTGACCCGTGGATGGGATTCTGTCCTCGGACCGCTCAGGTGAGCTTTCCTCAGGTGACTCCAGCTGTTTGATGATGAATCTAACAGGAGGCAGCTGTCTGGAGCGTTCTGAGGGCAGGTCGATGGAAACACTGACGGCTTCAGTTTGGTCGCGTTGAAGAAAATCTCACAGTTTGGGTTCAAATACGACACGTTCTACAGAAATACTTCACTCTGGTTGTACAAATACACGCACAGTCATGAGATAAGACGTCAAAACGATTAAACACGATAAGATGGAAACATTCTAAAGCAGTTCTACTTATAGCAGGTATGAAGGGAAAGCCAACGGTACCGAGTTGGTTCTTCCTTCAGCTTCGTCGGATCTTCAACATAAAACTTGACTCCAAAGTAGAAAATGTACGGAGGCCCGACTGGGACAAACACACACAAATAAACTATTTAATCCAGTTTGAAAAGCCTCTCAGGTGAAAACAAAATCCTCATTCGTCATCATCACGTCATCATTATTATGGATGAAGTGAAAACAGGTCATTTAGTTGAAGATGCTGCTGAGACTCACCGAGGACTCGATGCTGTGAAAGAGTCTTTGAAGGATCCAACCAGTGCTGAAAGAAACAAACGACTGTGAAGCAGCATCAAGGAGTTCAGTCACATCAGCTCATCTCCTCTAGTTCACCTCATCCAAACACATCAGCTTGTTCAGGTCTAGTTAATTCAACTAAAAGTGTTTAATTGGAATTTTCAGACCATTTTAGACGTGTCTGTGAAGATCCTCAGTCCTCCAGCTCATGGTCCTTCTGGTTGATGAATGGTAGCAGCTGGACCTGCTTGAGTTCCTTGAAGACGTTCCACCTTCATCCAAGAGGCTTCATCAGCTCTGACTGACTGGTTGGGAGTTCCACATACTGATATCCTGAAGGAGACGTTAACACCTGAGTTTGGGTTTTAATTGGGGGTTTGTTGCTCCTCCCCCTCGTTATGTGGGTCGTTAGTGCTCCCCCTGACACAGTGGGGTTCGTTAGGGTCTCTGTGGCTCGGTGTGGATGTGGGTTCATCTTCCTGGGGAGAGATCTGAGGACTGAACTCTCCCCAGGAAGCATAACGAGGGGGAGGAGCAACAAACCCCAATTAAAACCCAAACTCAGGTGTTAATGTCTCCTTCAGGATATCAGGATGTGGAACTCCCAACCAGTCAGTCAGAGTTGATGAAGCCTCTTGGATGAAGGTGGAACGTCTTCAAGGAACTCCAGCAGGTCCAGCTGCTACCATTAATCCACCAGAAGAACCATTTTAGACGTTTAAAACATTGTTTTTGCATCTGAAGCTGCTTTGCCTTAAAGTTGAATGAATGAATGAATGAATGAATGAATGAAAGAATGAATGAATGAATGAATGAATGAATGAATGAATGAAAGAAGAGCTGATGGTTCACTCAACTCATTAAATTAAGTTTATAGGGAACAAAACTAGAAGATGAGCAGATTACCCAGAATGCACTGCCAGAGAGTTAAACCTTCACAGAGACAGGATGGAACCTGGTGCTCCTGCTCATAACGATCTAAATCAGGGGTCGGCAACCTTCAACACTCAAAGAGCCGTTTGGACCCGTTTCACACGGAAAAGAAAACACCGGGAGCCACAAAACCCTTTTGACATCTAAAATGAAGATAATACTGTATAAATTGTTTTTACCTTTATGCTATGTATAAAAAACTATAGTGTGTTGCATTTATGAAATCAGTGAACTGCTACAGAGAAAACAATTTTATTTCTGCAACAAAAACATTTTGAACTCGACGCTATCCAATAAAATATTCAACGTCTATTTGTGTCCTCCTTGTATATATGAAATAAAAAGCTGATCTTAAATTATCCACCAGCAAAGTGAAAATGTCGTCTGGTCGTCCTGCTGCCTGCAGCTGGACTGCTGAGCAGACTGCTGACCGCCTGTGAGCTCTTTGGGACGGAGGAGCTCACGGCAGCACCGCTGCTCGCTGAGGACAGGAACGGCACAACGATACGTGTTATCACGTCAGAGTCTCCAAAACACCAGAAGAGTCTCCAGATTTGTCGCTAGTCGCTTTTGGCAAAAAAAAAAAAAAAAGAAGTCGCCAAGAGGATTTGGAAAGTTGCCAGATTTAGCGAGAACGTTATCCGGTTAATAACACTGTGCATGCCGGTGGGTGTGACGCATATTTTGAGCAACAAAAAAATTAAACACGTTTTATTTTAATGTTACAAGTTCCCAAAAATCTTAAAATTTAGAATTACATTTTAAAAACTAACGAACTAAAATAAATATATTAAAATTAAAATACTAATTTTTCGCCCTAAGTCGGCTGGGATAGACTCCAGCCCCCCCGCGACCCTAGTGAGGATTAGGCGGTGTATAGATAATGGATGGATGGATTATTTATTTCCCAAAGCCACAAGGAGCCGCAGCAGAGGGATGAAAGGGCCGCATGCGGCTCTGGAGCCGCGGGTTGCCCACCCCTGATCTAAATAATTACAACTAGAACAACAACTAATCCTCTGACAGAAGAGAGTTCACGGGTTACTTTAATGCCACTAGTTTAAGTTAGCGATCGCTGCTAATTCATTTTTAAGGGAAGTCAACTGGAAACGTTCCATTTCTCCGGCTGAAGTATTTGCTTTCCTCAGACACAAAATGAAAAACAGGATCTTTTACATCACACTTAGCTTTTCTTTACTCTGTGACTCTGCTCACAGAAAACTGTTTAAGGCTCAGAGATAAATGAGCTGAGGAAGTTATTGTTGTACTTTTGATGAAATGAAAACACCCTTTAAACCAGGGACCTCCAGCTCTGGTCCTCATGAGCTGCTGTCCTGCAGGTTCTAGACGTCTCCGTACTGCAGCACACCTGACCCACATGAATGGATCTCCAGCAGCTTGTTGTCAAGTTCTACACAAGCTGTTCATGATCCACTAAAGTGAGTCAGATGTGTTGCAGTAACATCTAGAACCTGCAGGACAGCAGCTCACGAGGACCGGAGCTGGAGGTCCCTGGTTTAAAGAACAAAATGTGATTTTATGTTGATAGAATCCATCAAAGTGGCTTCAGTCCAACAGAGAGATCCATGAGATGAACCTGACTGTGGCTCAGACACGGAGCTCCGTCCTTCACCGACTCTCATCAACAATCACGTCAGCAGAGTGCAGTGAAGAAGGAAGTCAGTAAAACTCGTCAGTGCGACCAGTCGGGTCGACCTGCCGCCTTCAGGTCATTGAACAGGTCGTTGAACTCACTGCAGCTGAATGAGTTCAAGAGCTTCTGTTTTCTCACCGTCTGCTGCTTGTCGTCACAGAACCTCAAACCGAAGAACTGCACTTCGTCCACGCTCAGGTGAGAAAACACCTGATGCAAGATGGCCGCCGCCTTCGAGGACTTCTGCGTTCGCACGACCAGAGAGAGAGAAAAGGATGAACCAGGAAGTGGAACCAGTAAAATGCACCAGGAAGTCCTCGCTCACCTTGATGCCCGTCAGCGTCAGCTTCCTCTCGTCCAATAGGAGCACTTCTCCATAAAATTCCTCCCGGTTGCCACGGAAACAGGCCATCATTACTGAAGACACAAAAAGCATTGAAACGTGTGTGAGACATGAACCAATCAGGAGCCGCGTTACTGTGATGCTGATGACGCTGAACACTAAAACTGGAACCATCTGATGGAACTGCAAAAGATTTAACTTTTTTCTTTTACAAATAATCACTTATTATTTAAGAATGTGTGATCGTATAACAAAAACAAGTTACTTCACAATTATTTGCTGTTATTTGAATAAAGAATGATACTAAGGATTAAGAAATGCGAAGAACATTTCTTTTTACAGATTTTCATGTTAAATCAAAGACATCATGTAAAGAGAAAAACGCTTTAATTTACTCGTCAAGAGTAAAATATCTGTAGAACAAAGACTCTGTGTCTAAACACTTTCTTACTGTCAAACTCAACAAAATGCTTTTAGTAAAACTATGGGTTTGGGATGAGGACTTTTTCTTTTACAGTTTAGGTGTCTTTTTTTTTTCACTGGTAAACAAATAAATGAAAACTTTTTTTCTGAGATTTTACAAGTTATTAGCTGTGACATTGTAAATTGTTCAACAAATACCAGATAAAAACTCTACGAGGCGACATTTTGTTCTGTTTCATTCCTCGACTTCCTGACAGACCGACTGAGGGTTTAGGCTGACGTGTCGCCTGACAGGCAGAATTCAGGGCAAACCGGCACCATGTTTGGCCTCACATCAGCTGCTGAGAACAGTTTCAATGGATCAACAGTAAAACGATCCTTTCTGAGCGTCAGCCTGTCGTTCAGAAGTCTGCTGTGTCTGAATCTGTGAGCTGCTGGGAAATGAAGCCAGCGTTTCCTCCTCACCTGCAGACTCACCTCGTCCTCCGTCTTCCTCCCTCCGGTTGTCCTCTGCTGGCTTCTTCTTCTTTGTGTCTCTGTGTTGTTGTTGTTGTGTTGCCGTGGAGACGACCTCCTTACCCCTCCCTCCCCTCTGCGTCTCATCTGAACTTCCTGCTTTGCTGTTGCTCCTTTTCCTTCACTGCCAGCGACGAGTTTACTTTGATGAAACAGAAACTAAAAACTGACGGATGGTCGGATATAAAATGTTTGTTTATTTGGTTTTAAAATTAATGACACTGAAGCTGCTGTTCTCACCTTTAAACACTGAGGTTCTCCAGTTAAAAGACGAGGTTCTCCAGTTTAAAGTCGAGGTTCTCCAGTTTAAAG